TTCCGAGGTGACTCGGCCCTATTTTCGGGAGCGGATTCTTCACTTCTCAGTCTTTTTGCTCTTTCTGTTGTATCACTATTTATCCATAGCACTGTCTTGCGTTGCAATTTCTGACTCTATATTACTGCTGGAAAGTTCAGATTTTAACTCTTCTAATGTGTAAATGACATCGTCAATAAATGCCCTGTCTCCTCTATACAGTAGCGGATCCAGGATTTAATTTTGGGGGGAGGGGGCTTCAGCCCGAAATTTTTGTTTTCATGAAAATAACGATAATTACTTTGGAAAAAGAGAAATAAACTAACTACCTACATGAAATGGTGTTTAAATGATTCCTAAAGATCTTTTAAATGTGATTACATGAACAATAATACTTAAAGAGATAATTTTTTGATATTTTTTTCCATAAAACATGGTTACATTTTACCATTTTGGGGGAGGGGCTTCAGCCCGAAAGCCTCCCCCACCATAGATCCCCCGTGCCTCTATATTTTGCTATCCTTCCATTTTCACGGGAAATTTTAATATATGGCCATAATTCTTTCCTGGTTACTCTCTCTTAAGGAGTATAATCGCAAGAGAACTTCAAATTTGATTTAAGTTGCCAGCTTGCATTAAATATCTGTATTTTTTTCTCATTACTAAAAATTATATCAACACCGGCCTATTCTGCTTTGATGGTGATCCCAATCTGGTGATCAAGTCTATCTCTGAAAGGCTGGGATTAATTTTCAAATTGTTATTTATAGTATTTACTACAGTCTCTTCCAGAGTGTTATGCGTTTCATTTATGATGTTTTTAAAATTATATAGTATTAGGTTTTTTCCTCTATTAGTATTTTCTTCTTTCTATATTTTTGTTTATTTTTGAGATTTCGTTTTTAATAGGTTTTGTGAACGTTCTAAATTTTCTAGTTTTGATTTTAATTCGTTCAACTCAGTTTTAAAGCATTACACCGATTCTTTCAAGGTTCTCATCTCCTCGTTTCTCTTTTTAACTTGATCGTTTGTGTCCCTCAGAAGGGTCATTATATCATTTAAAGTAGTTTCTGCTGCCATTTTCCCGTAAAACAATTAAAGTAAATTGAGAAAACCACAATATAACAAATTAATACGGCTAGTGCAAAAAAAAGACTTTCAAAATTAATTTGAATTAAGTGATCAATGATTTATTTATTTATCACACAGCTGTAGACTGATAATAGATAAGTACCTCGAACTTGAACTTGGCGATTTGGGCGATGTGGTGGGGGGGGGTGGGGGCCTGCCAGATCCAGCCGGCAATCTAGATAAGCGATGCCTGTCCTGGTATTTGGCAGATATTTCTACTGTAATTGTAAAACTATCTGCACCACTATTGTCACCAAATTTTACTTGCCACTTCAATAACACTTTATCTTTAATTGTGCAAAAAAACGTCGACGTAGGCATAGAATTTCTAAACGTGAAACTAAGTAGCACAGAGGCGGTGTTACTAAGTCACTATAATAAATTCGGAATGTTTACTAATTTGCGCTTATAAGCAATATAAGTGACAATAATGAAATAATGGATAGACAACACGATCAAAAAACATTATTCTTACATGTCTTCGAAAGATCGATTGTTGAAGAGATGAAGAAATAATTGGTGTTTAAAGAAGGTTTCATGAATGTGTGTGGTAAAGAAATTACAAAACAAAGAATCAAACATGATAAATGATTTTTTGAAGGAAGAAGCTTTATGATAAGGAATATAAAGATTTGTGAGTTAGTTTTCGTTTTTAATAGTGGGGGAAGAACAAGAGGTGAACAATTCAAGGATATCAGGAGGCTTTTTGATTTTAAGGGATCGGTAAATGTATATAGATTAGTGATATTACTGCAGGAAAACTGAATAGAGCCAGAGCCATTTTAATGCAGTCAGTACACCTACAACAGACGTCTGTGCATCGGGCCTCTCTGAAGATGAATCTAATCAAACAATGCATTAATCTCTTTCTTGTAGCCTCATGGGGGAATGGGGTAGCTCAGTGGTAGGGCGCTGAGCTTCAAATGCTCAAGATCCCAGGTTTGATTACTGGCTTATGGCAAATAAATTATTTATTCTGTTTCATCGGTCGTGGATTGACCCTGGGGTCGGAAGGCCCTCCTGGAGGCACACCCAGCCTCTATAAAGTGGGTACTGTTAATTGCTATTAATGGCAAAACCTGGCGGTTGATCGTGATCTCGGTCAAATTACCTGCTTGCACAACCATGGAACAAGAAACAGTACTTTCTCTGCATAGTACTGAACACAAGACCCTTCATAGATTGCAATGGTACAGGTTTATTTTTCTCCAATTTCATGCCCAACAGACAATATAATAATAATAATAATAATAATAATAATAATAATGCTTTATTTATTCTGGGACGAGTCTTTTTAGAATAATACAGAAAGACAATAATATGGGCTAAGGAGCCTTAGAGATACATAAACAAAAATATAGAGTAATAAAATAGTCAAAATAAAAAAAAAAATAATAGGAAAATTATAAGTTACTTACTAATTTAGATCACTTAATAATAAAAAATTGAAAATAAACATGAAATAAAAATAATAAAGAACGATCTAATAATTTATATACATATTTACAGTAGTAATTATTTACAATTTTATGGGTACTGGATTGATAAGAAATGATTGAAAAGGCAGAATTTAAAGGTAGGAAAGGTTTTGGATTGACGGATGTGGTGAGGGATGGAGTTCCATAGGGATGATGATCGAATAATGAACGATCTGTCGAAAGCAGCGGTTCGGTGGCCTCTTATGTACAAATCAGAAGAACGGGAACGAGTATTGCGGAAACGAACGGAGGATTTGAATTGAAGGAGCTCGGAGATGTATGAAGGACGGTGGGATTGGATGACTTGAAAGAGGAAGGATGCCAGGAAATAATTGCGATGGTAGGAAGGATAAAGCCACTTCAACTCTGCATAAAAACTGGAAATAGAGGCGTCCCTTGGGATCCCGAAGATGAATCGTACAAAGCAATTTATCAAACGTTTTAATTTCGCCTCGAGATCCCCAGAGACGCCCCCATATACCGTACAGCAATAGTCAAAGTGGGGAAAAATTAAGGAAGTTACTAGAAGTCTACGGGTTTCAAGGGGGAACAGGTGACAACAATTCAAATTTAGACGTTTCAAAGTGGAAATAGTACGGCGGGAGATGTTGGATATATGATTTTTCCAGGAAAGCGTTTGATCAAAGATCATTCCAAGGTTTTTTATGGAGGGATAAAATTTGATGGGATTATCATGTACGAACATTGTTGGAATATTAGGAACAGTTTTAAGGAGGTGATTGAAGCCTATTAACATTGCCTTCGTCTTTTCTGCATTTAACTTCAACTTGTTAGCTCTCGCCCAGTCACAAATCCTATCCAGGTCTTCTTGAAGTTGTTCTGTGGCTGATAATCGGTCGGTGGGCGGAAAGGACAGATATATTTAGGGGGAATATACAGAATATACCGCATAAGGGAGCCAAAAGTTGGGGGAAATTAAAGAAAAACTAATAGTTAAAGGGTTATGGTTGGTACGGAATCTCAGGAACTGCTCAGCAGTAGATTTTCGAGTGATTTGAGAATTGGTTATTTAATAATAGGTATTGATCGAAGATTAGCCCAAGGTTTCCAACGGAAATGTGGAAACGAATTGTTAGATCACTAAGATAAAGCAAGGGCAGTATAGGACTTTGATGGAAGTCTTAGGCCAACATAGGAAAAAAAATATATTAAGTAAGGTAGATAAAATTCTTGGAACCAGTGCGAACGGTCTTATTCTTTTCAGTGTTCAACTTTAAATCATTGTTTATATCCCATACATTGAAACTGTTTATATCTTTTAGTTGTCTTTGCTTCGCCTCAAGCATCTCGGTCGGATGGATAGATTAGAAAATTTGGAGGCCGTCAGCAGATAAGTAGTATTGTGAGTAGTGAATGGAATACAGAAGATCATTAATATAGATGAAGAAAAGGGTTAGTGAGAATTAAAAGATATGAGGAAGGAGATTTATTTGGAATAATAACTTGGGAGCGAAGAGATAAAAAAAAGGATAGGAGCCACTTTTAGAAACTATTTTTCACGGAAAGATTTTAGGTAAGATGTTTTACAGAACATTTAAAGTAATTTGGTTGAAAATAAAAGTATTAAACATTTGCAAGAGTAAAAAAAAAATAAAAACTTCAAGTTGAAAAATTTCCTTTCAACTGAATGGAATGATAAGAATTTAAAAAAAAACTGATAAAGAGTGTAACTTTCACTTACTAACCTGCTTTCACTAGAAATTAATTTAAATATAATTTAAGAATGTTATAATGCTTCAATAATAAATAAATTAACTGAATTAAAATAAATAAAAATTTAAGTGTTTATAATAGAAAAAAATAAATAGGTTTCAGTGGTGAATTTAATATTTAACGGGTTCTCGAAAAAATTGTCCCTTAGGCCCTTAGTTTCTCTCCGCGACCCTAATTGCGAGGGATGCTTTTATTACTGTTAAAATTAGCCTGTAATGTTATCATTTATATGATAAAAGATAAATGAACCATTTATATCTGTTAGTAATATTAACCAAATAATCTTAACCAAAGAGGTATTATACAAATTATCTTTGAGAATTTTCTTTCATAAAGTTTTAAAACATTATAGATTTATCTAATTTGGGTTTATGTGAATAAATATATGTCATAATTTTGTATCTGCATCTATTTTACACCAGCGATTTAGTTTAAATTAATACTGCTGTACATGAATAATTACTTTTCTCATTATGATATGGAAATGGAAAAAAGATTTATATATGTTTAAAAATTATTTTAAAAATATGTAAGATTCTAAACCAATTTTACGTCATTGTTGTTATTGAATAATTGTCTCTATGACAACCTTGTTTATGACGTCAGTTCATGAACGCATCTGCGCGTTATGATTGCGTCCTAGTTACTGGTCTAACCAATCACTTTACAGATTTCTGTGGAAAATTTAGGTTGATTGTTAGTAAATATGTTCCTCGGTTGTATTGTTTATGTTTCTACATCTACTTCAATGGATTTTCAGTATTGATTAAGATTGTTTTTACAAAGTATTTGTATCTATTTCGTGGTAAAACTTCACATGTCAAAAAAATTTGTTCTTCATAATTTTGTGCGGATGATAAGTGTTGGGGAGTGGTACTTTTTTGGTTTTTATATCCCATTTTTGGAATAGTGAAGAATTAAATGTGAACTAGTGCTAACTATTAGTGTTACGCAATGTGAAAGTGCATTGTTTTGATTTATAACGAGATGACGTTTGTTTTCTGTGGTAGAATAAAGCAGTATGCTTTGATTATTAGTGCAGTAACATTAATTTGTCTTCAGATCTCAAATTCAGGAAGATGTCGCAAAACATGGATTGGTTTTGGATTTGCTAAATTTGATTTATCAGCAGTATATTTATTGTAAACATGGTATGTTTTCTAAAAATATTTTTTCAATTTGTCATGTCCTTAATTATAATCATTAACATAGCTTAGTTTTAGCTTCAGCTTTTAGAAAACTGCATGAGTATAAGTTGTGCTGAGAGATAGATTATTTGTTTTCACTGTATTATTATTATTTGTAAACAATGATGTCAGTTTGTAATTTTTTTTTTCTTTCTTTATTAAAATCTTCGTGTAAATTGTTTTTGATATCTGAATATCAATCATCTTACATTTTGTTTGGATACTTCTATTTTTGCATTATAGCGAGTTATTGTTATTGTTGAGTTAATGTTATTGTTAACCTCTTTGGTCTATATTCAATTGTTTATACTCATCCACTTGTGGAAATGTTAAAGTTATTAACTCATTCTACTTCAATGTAACATCGCTTTTTAATCCTTAACTTATTGCTTTATAATATTTTTATTTGACATTTATTAGTCGTTATCATCTAGAATATTTGTTTAAATACAGTATTAGTTAATTGAAGATAAAGTATCATTACGGTTGTATGTATTTTTCAATATTAGTTTTATAGTGGTGGCTACTTTCCATTTTATCCCTAATCACATCTATTTATGCACATCAAAAAAGGAATGTTAATGTTTAGTCAAACTGTCTTATCTGTGATATTAAATTTTAGTGACTGTTTCATTAAAAAGATTACGTAGTTGGTGGTGTGTTCAGAATGATATTGCTTGTTCATTGTTTATTACTTTATTTTAATTCTCTTGCTCATATCCAATAATAGTAGCATCAAATACTTTTGTTATGAATTAATTAATAATAGCAGTGGTCCTATTTTTTCATTTCAAGACAAATCGATAAGTATTTTACTGGCATCATTAGAACAAATTAAGTTATTTCAGTTTTCTTACAACATATTAAGTTATTTTTCATTATTAATTAACGCTGATAACCTTTTTAATTTTAAACACCGCTGATTTTCTTAACGAAGTATGAAAGGCAAAGTTTTACTTTTAAGTGTTGCTATTAATCAACTCACAAATATTTAGAAATGTAATTAATATTTTATATTGTTGCCATTTACTTATTCTATGTACTGTAACTTTGTATATAAGTCAAAATGCATCAATCAAAGATCCATAAGAAACTGCCTCAAGCTGGTTAGTGTTAAATTTAATTTATTATTTCTGTCCATTTCCATTTTCATTTAATTCATTTTTGTTTTATTTGTGCTTTTTTAGTTAGAGTGTGTTTATAAATAAAATAAAACCTGTAAATTCAATTTCCTGTTTATCTGTAGTTTCAACTTCCGTTGTATCTGTGGTTGTTATTGTCAAATAGATAACTGTTTCACAGTTTGTTGAACTGTATTTCCGCATATTGTTTATTTGTTGGTCACTGATGGATTACTAGTTTATAAACTGAAATTTGCTCTAAATAGATTCCTTATAGAGTTTATAGTGTGATCTTATTTATTTTAATAACGAATTAAATATTTTTTCAATATCAAGAGTTTTATTGATATGGTGTAGCATCTGTCTCACTTTATTTTAGAAAATATATATACCTTATGATTTGTGTTCACTGAAATCTAAACATCTTCATCTGTAATTCATATTTTTATATATTTTTCAGATTTGTTATAGGCTACTTATTAGCCTTTTTTTTTCTTTCTTAATAAAATAGTCAAACATATCGTTTTATTTAAGTTCCTAGAGTGTTTTAAATTCTTCTCTTTAATTTCTCATTTCAAAAATGTTGCTTTGCTCTGTACTGTTTATGCCTTTAATAAAAAGTCTCATTTGTATGAGAATCTACATAGCAGCATTCTGTAGAAATGCTGTAATGACATGTTTTTGTATATTGTTGTTACTACTTTGCGAAGAGTAAAGCAATATTATATTGATCTTGGGACCAAAACATATAAGTCAATCATTGATTTTTTAAATTTAAGTACTTATCTAAAAACCCTATTTAAATGCTTATATTATGGTATTGTAATTGGACATTTCATCGCCTTTAATTATTCATTGATTGGGTTCTTTTTTTTTCTTGTATAATTTGGTTATGCATATAAATCTTCTGTGGAACAGCATGTAATGCTTTTAGAAATTTATTAACCCATCAAAATAAGGCTCCTCAAATATAAATGTTTAATAACTATAAAAATATCCTTCATTTCACTAGGGAAGACCGCAGTTGAGGTTTTAGATATAAAACAAATTGCTCAGCAAAGTTTGCCCTCTTAAGTTGAAACATTTTTATTGTTTATTCATTTAAAACCCATGGTATTTTGAATGTAATAATTGTTGTTGTTATTGAAATCATGTTTTTCTTAATCTTAGCTGTGTTTAAATAACCAAGCACACAAGTTTCTATAGAGATAAATATACGTTTACTTGTATATAAATGATTTTATTTTAATTTGTAAATTCATTATTTTTCTAATGAATCTGTTTTATTTATTTGATAATTTACTTCTGACACATGCAAACCATAAACAGTTATTCAGTTAACAGATAAAGTTTATTTTTACTATAAATGTTTATTTTTACGATAAATGTTTACTTTTACTAGTTTGCCTACAAAATTCTTACATAATAATTTTTTTTAACATTTCTTTTTGATGATATGAACTCAGTTAACAGTTTTGGATTGTTTCAATCAAAATTTTTTGTTCAGTATTAGCCTGATTTCCAATTGGTATGTTTCCTCAAGAGCTCAGGAATTCCTCAAGGTAATTTACTATCATTAATAAAAATTGGTCAGTATGGTACAGACTAAACATTGGTGGCATCAAAGGACCCATTCTTATTTCTGTTTTTGATTTATTATGGATACAATTTCATCCTCTTTCTCATAAATTCATTCAATGTTTTTAATATCTACTGTTGAGATGATGAGTTAAATTAATCAGGTTCAAAAATGAGCTAGTTGCAGTTGTAGTATTTGTCGAACGTATATTAAAATTTATTAGGAAGCTATATTAATTCTATATAAGGTCTTATGCAATTATAATAATAAAATATATGATGGAAAAATGGATGCTATTTAAAATCCCAAAAAACTTATGTAGTATGTGTTTAAGTGTAATGATTTCAGTTTAAATTCATAGTTAAATGGAATGAGATTACCAACATTTTTTTATGGAATCTTCATGTCATTTATTTATGCGATTAGGAAATAAAAAATAAAAATTTGATAAATCCAATCAGTCCATAAATAAATAAGATTTTAAAAAGATTATATTTCAAAAGTATTTTTACTAGTTCATATTTTGTTTTATATATATATATATATTTTTATTTTTTTTATTTAGGAAAATGACATTCAAGATAAGTTGAATTCTAAAAAAAGCATTATTATGTATTTGATTTCTTATTTATTTTAACATTTTTTATTTGAGTGAGAATGGTACCAAAACAAGGTGAAATGTCTATTGTTATTCCAGAAATATATTTTATCCTCAGAAACATTGGGAAATCAGTCAATTCTTTGGTTAGAATTTCTCCAAAACATGTTATATTATCAAAATGTATGGTGAGACAGAAACCACCTCCAACAAAACGCAAAACAGTGTCCTAAGGTATTGACGCCTCGAGAATGCAGAGACATCAGAATAGAAGCTACAAACAATCCATCCACTAGTGCTAGGAGATAAGTAGATATGATGGTGAATAGTTTTAACAAGCAGATCAGTGATTAAAGTGTAAGAAGAGACACTTATCATGATATATGTAGTAGAGTATCCAGAAAAATTCCTTTTGACATTGATGTTAACAGAAAACAACAAGTTTGCTAAGGAATATCCATACCAACTAATAGAATTTGTGAAAAAGGTTCTGTATAGCGATTCAAGTAATTTATTATATATTTTTATGAAAGTGACAGATGGTTGTATGTATGGCAGAAACCAAACTAGAAGTCTGAATTATTAAACATTCAATATATAGAGAAGATCAGGGCATGGTTTGAGGATGTGTCCCATTTCACAGTGTTGTAAAACTTGATCTGACTAATAATACATTTAATGGAGATGATTATTTGTGCAATAATCTAAAAAAAAACAACAACAGTCAAGAACTAAGGATTGAAAATTTATAGATACTTTAACCAGGTACCAATTATATGCTTATAAAATATAATGCCAAAAAATGGGTCCTTCAAAATGTACTCAGAAGTCTCCTAACCACTCCTTAAAGTTCAGAAATTAATTTAATTAATAATTTATGGTCCATTGTTGAATATAGGATCCAGAAGTATATTATTACCTCAAAAAATTGCTTTACAACCTTTGCTTGATTAGTGGGATAAAATCAAGCCTGAGCGGTTAAAATTTCTTGTTTTCTCTAAGCTGAAATGCCTTCAAGTAGTTTACAATTGGTTTAAATATATTTAATACAATAAGCCAAAAATTCCACCCTAATAACAGAATCTGCGTAGAAAGAAAATCCCGAGTGTAGAAAAATTCAAATACCTCGGCTCCACAATAACCTCAATGAATAACCAGCAGGCAGATATAGAACAGCCTATAACTAGTGCAAACAGAACTTTTTTCTCCCTTTCAAAGGTATTGAAATCACGAAAAATCTCAAATTAAGGGTGTTCAATACTATGATAAAGCCAGTTCTAATATAGGGCTGTGAGACCTGGACACTAACCAGCACCCTAGAAATAATTGTTGAAAGATTTGAGAGAAAAATCCTCCACTCGATAACCAGATTGATCAGGAACCAGAATACTAACATATAGAGAAGAAAGATCAGTAAAGAACTGCTTACAGAAACTGGTAAATAAATATCCCATGATATGGGAGGCTCGGAGCTTAAGATGGGCGAAGCACGTATTGCTTAGCAATCCATCTGGAAGCCTCTATGGAACAATGAATGCCTTAATAGTAGGCAGAAGACCACGTGGAAGGCCAAAAATCAGTTGGATAGATATAATTAACAAACATACAATAGAGCTGCGTGCAGATAAATGGATCATTATCATTATTGGTATATTTTGTTGTGGTCATCTCAAGTTTCGCGGATGACCAGGATGTGTCGGTGCGTCACAAAGGGGCTGCAGAAAGAGTGATCGGCAATGTTCAGAGGATATTTGAGGAAATTGGCTTGGCTATTAATCCTCAAAAAAGCATGGGAATCGTTCTAAATAAAGGAGAGCTGTAAACAGCGATGCTCTCCTTTGAGAATGGAGAGTACATCTAAACATTGCAGAATGGAGATACAATCAAGTATTTAGGATGTACATTCTTGGGAGAGCTACAGTTCAATGAAGATTCGGTAGCCAAATTGAACGAAAATCTGAATAAACTGTTAACCTCTTCCTTGTTTAAGCCGGAGCAAAAGCTAAACATTGTCAATCAATATCTGTTCCCGGGTCTTACTTACCGTCTCCAAACTGTGCCCCTCACAAAGCTGCGTCCTGCCATACTTGACGGCATCGACACCATGATTCGCAGGAGTGTGGAGGCTATTGTTGGACTCCCTGCGAACACCTCTATGGCGATGTTATACGCTCTCAGGAGGTATCGAGGATTAGGATTAATCTGCTGTCAATGGGAGGCTCCTCTATAACATTGGTCCATTGCTCAGCGACTGTCCAATGTGCCTGATGCTCTTTTTCAATCGATCTTTGATTATTCTGCTGAGGTTAATGAATGTGCCGAGAGATTGGGGGTTGATCAGGGTATTTGGAATACGAGAGCTCTACGGCAGCCACTTCGAGAAAATTCGTTTGAGGAATGGACCAATTGCAGGTGGCAGGGCATTGGAGTTTGCCATTTTAAAGAGACCCAATAAATACATGTACAATAAGCAAGTACTTTCTGGGTCTGAATGGTCAAATGTCCTGAAACTAAATATTAACTATGCACTCCTGCGTGGAGTCCCAGGTGTCAGCGGACAGGTAAGAGAAGTTGGGTCCCTCTGTCGCATATGCGACAGAGCCAGAAACACCAGCACATGTGCTTGGAAAATCCCCCAACAACTCCCTCCTTATAACGCGCCGTCACCACAGAGTTAAACATGAACTGATGAGGCTCCTTAAAGAGCGACGTTACGCCTGTTTCGGGGAAGTATATTGTATAGATACGGATGGATCCACCTGATATGCCGACATTGTAGCATTCCCTAAGACGGGAAAGTCGGCGATGATTTTGGATCCAACCATGAGATATGAGACCAATGACCTCGATCAGGCAGGAAAAGTGGAAAGGGAGAAAAAACAGACATATGAGAAATGCATCCCTTTCCTTAGTGAAAAGTTCCGCAAGAGAGTTCCACATGAGAGGCCTTTGGTTCGGAGCTCGCGGAACGATATCAGATTCAACAAGGAGCTTCATGGAGGGCCTTGGTGTCGACATAAAGGACGTGGCAAAGTTGGCAAAGAGTATAATCCTCGACTCCCTGGGAATCATCCACCACCATGTGCATGGGAGCGGTTAGGGAGAGAGTTTGTTCATTGGGAGGAGGCATGCGTGTGTTACAGCATTTTTATATTATTATTTATTGAACACGTCCACTGTACTTTTATGTATTTTTTATGAATTAGGTTAGAAAGAGAGAGGAGAGAATGTGAGGAGAAGGAAGAGAAAGGGAATAGAATGATAATAAATGAATGAAAGAAATAGTAAAAAGAAAAAATAATAATATATAAATATATATATATATATATATATATATATATATATATATATATATATATATATTATATATATATATATATATATATAATATTGTATACTATGCTCATACATATTGTTAATCCTATATAATTGTATATTAATTTTTAAAATTGTCTGTAGTGATTAATAAGTATGCTGTGTTGTTAGCAACCCAATGTAATTGGGCAACACCATTTTATTTTATGATAATAAAGTGATTCTCTCTCTCTTTAAAAAAGTTAGCGTGCTGCAGAAACTCATAGAAAAATTTGCAGTGTTAATGGGGATGATGCCTTAACTGAATGCATCTGTCAAAATTGGTTTGCAAAATTTCATTTAGGAAATTTTGACATCAGTGATGGATGCTGAACTTCAAAATCCCACCTAATCAGTGTTATAGATTACTATGGGCCTAAATGTGTCGCACACAAGTGTAGAAAACCATTTGCCCAAGCTTGGCTATGTTTCCAGGCTTAATGTTTGGGTCCCTCACTCACTAATTGAAGTCAACTTGACAACACGCATTTCTGTTTGTGATTCACTATGGAAATGGCTACAAAACGACCCATTTTTGAAAAGGTTGGTAACAGGAGATGAAAAATGGATATTTCACGATAATGTAGTCTGTAGAAAATCTTGGGGACTTAGTAGTGAGGCTCCTAGAAGAATGTCAAAACCCGAATTGCATCCAAAGAAGATAATGCTTTCCGTATGGTGTAATTTCAAGGGTGTTATTTTCTATGAGCTATTGCCATTAGGACAAACAATTGATTCAACTCCATACTGCTCACAATTAACAAAATTGGATCAATCAATTAAAAATATATGCCCAGAACTGGCAAATCGAAAGGGTGTTGTTCCATCAAGACAACGCTAGGCCCCACACGTCATTGGTCACTCGCGATAAATTATTGAGCCTTGGATGGGACCTTTTGCCCCACCCTCCCTATTCACCAGACCTAGCTCCAAGTGTCTATCACTTATTCCGGTCTCTGCGGAACTCCATAAATGGAAAGAAATTCCAAAAGGAAAAAGACATCAAAAACCACTTGGATAATTTCTTTAACAATAAACTCTAGACATTCTATAAACATGGCATTATACAGTTAGTAGAAAAATGGGAAAAAGTCATATTAAATAATGATCAATATATTGTAGATTAAAATAAATTGTAAGTATATAATACATTGAATTTTACTTCACACTGAAAGGACTTATTTGCCAACCCAATAAATTGCCTGCAATGCCAACAGAAAGAAATTTTTTTTCATCCTTTTAATTGATCAGTGGGCCTACTTACCACCCGTTTCTAATTTTTTTCTTTTATATTTATTTGTGAACTGATTAAGTTTTGTAATTGCTAATTTTTAGTCTAATACCTGGCTTAAAAAATAAAATTTCATTGAAAAGTACAATACCTTTGGCTGTCACTGCATGCTGTTTAAAATAAATATTATAAATTTAATGTTGCAGTTTACAGTTATTACAAACTATTACTTTTGACAAGATCTTTTTTGAATCTTGTCTTAAACGTATTTTGCTGTTGGTTAAAAGGTGTAATCCCCAAAGTAATATCATACTATTATAGGCTATACATCATAACATTTATCAGTCTTGCTATTTTTAAGTTGACAAATTGAATTGAATGATTTTGTAACATATTAAGTTCTACTTAGTTATATATCATTTTAATTATGAATTTGTTTTAAAATCTATATTGTGAGATGAGATTTATTAATTTCCATAATCATTTGAATAATTTTTTAAAAATATATTTGTATATTTATATGCTTTATTTTAGGTATTAAAATGGTTAGGGAATGGAAAATCTGTGATGAGACTCTTTGGAAATTTTTATTTGGGGTTATTTGGATTTTTACTGTCATTATTGACACCAAAGCACATCTTCGCCCTACAGACATCTCTGCTGTGAGAAAAGAAAAAAGTCAGTATTCATTTTTTTTTTCTTTAGAAACTAATGCATTTTATTAGTTATAAATTAATTATATATATATATATATATACGTACTGCTCAAAAATGAATAGTGATATTGTTAGTTATGAATGATTTATTTTCCCTTGAATTTTTATTACAAGATACATTGAAAATTAATTCTAAGATAGTATTTGATCTCAGAAAATTTTATAAAAGGTATTTTAAAAAATAATATAATTAATAGTTTTTGTGATTTTTGTTTTATGATTGCGAAGTATAAGAATTTTGTAAAATTTAATAACTTGTGTAATGTTTTCTGTTACACACTACCTCTCTTCACCTAATGGGAATACTGTTTATACTGTTGTCACTCATTCGAAAAGGAATTTCATACTATAAATATGGTAAAACGGCTCTCAGTTGCTAAAGGTTAAGAAACTGCAGATGGTGGTAAAAAAGCCTTGTTTGCAATGCATTCTACTTGTGCTCAAAGGGATTGAGATTTGGAAATAATATGGGAAACTACAGATGTGAAATGTCCAGATTTTTAAGACATCGATAACAACTTTTTAAGGTTGCATATTCTTGCAAAAATGGAGATCAGTATGAATAATGGCCCTGGTTTGAGGAATGTACTCCTATTTAATTTCTTGAACATAACGAACTGCAATGAGATTACCTTCCACAATATAGAGTAGTGTCCATTCTCCTGTGTAGATAGATGCAGGCCTGTACCATCACTCTCCTACCTATAGACTGCCGTAAAAGGTACAAACTGTTCTCGGAAGACTTTTCGCCACCTGCTATCGCTATAAATACAGAAACACTACTCATCAGTAAACAAAATAACATTCTAATCTGTATCATCATTCAGGCGCTTTCAATCAATTTTTATCTATAAGCTGTGGAGTTGCCGATGCACACTGTTTCTCCCGGTCGTCTTAATGGGGCATTAATTGTTTGACCAACTTGTCACAAACGATTACGAATGGTTTGAGTTTATAAAGCTCTTGGCATAATATTAGAAACTTCATTTAGGCTCTGTCGAGCACTATGAAAAGGGCTGCTTCTTGCAGTAATAACAATATTTCTGTCATTCGTTAGTGTTCTAATGTACTGAGATCCCCTAACAGATCTCCTATTGATACTTCTGGCTTCTCTGAATCTGGCTAAAGCCTGGGACACCAAAGTTTAGGAGTCCCCAACTGCATCAGCAATATCCATTAGCCCGTGCTCTTGACTACTCATTTTTGTGATAATATTGTGAACTTCATGCGGAGAAGCTGGAGTTTCTAAAATACATCGGTTGGTTAAAAAGATCTGGGTCAATGAGAAATTACCTACAGAATGGAAAGAATCTATTCTTATTCCGATTCACAAAAAGGGTCCGAGGAGGGATTGTAATAACTATCGAGAAATTTCACTCCTTCTGGTATGTTATAAAATATTCACTTTAATCTTAACGAGTCGAATCACGGAATTTGCCGAGGAAATTATCGGAGACTGCCAATGCGGATTTAGACGGAATCGTTCGACTATTGATCAAATATTTTCTTTACGGCAAATATTAGAGAAAAAATTGGAGTACAACGGTATTGTTCACCAGCTGTATATAGATTTTAAAAAGCCTTACGATTCTATTGACCGCCAGAAATTGTATAATATTCTAATCGAGCAGGGGATTCCAAAAAAGCTAATAAATCTAGTCAGGATGTGCTTGACGGAGACACTCAATAAAGTTAGAATCGGTAATAATCTGTCCAAAAAATTTGAGGTGCGTTGGGGTTTAAAACAGGAGGATTCCCTTTCCCCTGTCCTGTTCAATTTGGCATTAGAACATGCCATTAGCGAGGTAATGCGTACCGAGAAAGGGTTGGATCTGGGCGGGCCAACATCCGTGCTGGTCTATGCTGATGATCTGGTACTGTTAAGCGAAGACGTTGAAACTATAAAACTAAATACGACAATGTTAATGAAAATCGGTAAAGAACTAGGACTCGAAATAAACGTGGATAAAACAAAATATATGGTTAGCTGCAAAAATGGCGATACTACAGGTGATATCGATATAGATGGTAATATGTTTGAACAGGTAGATAAATTTAGGTATCTAGGTTCTACGATAACTAGAAAAAACGAAATTGAAGAAGAGATTAAGGTGAGACTGAAGGCGGGAAATGCTTATTATTTTTCTGTGACAAAACTACTTAGTTCGCGCCTCTTGTCCCGAAACTTAAAAATTGGAATCTATAAAACAATTATCTTGCCTACAGTTCTTTATGGATGCGAAACTTGGCCGCTTACATTAAGGGATGAGCAGCGTCTTAAGGTTTTTGAAAATAAAGTATTGCGTAGAATATTCGGACCGAAGAAGGATGAGTTAACCGGAGAGTTCAGACGGTTACACAACGCCGAATTGCGTGAGCTGTATCCGGGTAATATAATTGAGGTAATTTCATCGCGGCGAATCAAATGGGCTTGTAAAGTTGTTGGGCTTAGTAACGAGAGAATTCCTAAAAGGTTAACATTTGCTGTGCCGAATGGTAAGCATCCGAGGGGTAGACCGAAGCGAAGGTGGGAAGATTGCATTAAAGCCGATCTGAAGGGACTGGGTTTGGACGGCGAATGGTGAAGGGAGGTGTGTAATAAGTGATTGGTGGTGCCGCCATCGAACCTTTGGGTTCGCTAAGCCTTTATTATTATTATTGTGAACTTCTGGATCAATATGATGTCTTTCCATCATTAAACAGAATATTACTGGATTAACTCTTTTACTGGGGACGGGATGCATACCTTCCCATTAAGAGTTGGGTCACTGGTGTGGACAGAATCTACGCTTTCCCGGTAGTGAAATTATTACTATTATTACAGGACTACGTGCTGGGATTGATTGTAAAGGAAGGATTTGAACTATCGCAGGACATTGTTGGACATAGGATGATTTTACAATTTAGTAAGAAGGATGTTATGGTCAACTGTATCTAACGCTTTGGAAAAATCTAGAGGGATGAGGATTTGGTGTTCAATAGAGTTTTGGAGGTCATGGGTTATTTTAAGGAGAGCAGATTGCGTTGAGTATCCAGGTCGAAAGCCAGATTGGAATGTGTTGATAAGGGAACGTTCCTCTTGGAAGTTGGAAATCTGATTTTGGATTAGGCGTTCTAACTCCTTTGAAAGGTTGGATATGAGAGAAATAGGCCGGAAGTCATGCAGTGAGGTAGGATTGGCAATATGATAGGATTTATGTAGATATGATAAAAAACAGGAATAAGGTCAGGAAGGCTAGATTTTATTAGTTTTACTGGAATATTATTAGGACCATAATCATTAGTGTGGCATTTTAGGATAGTGGAAAGTAATTCATCATAGGACACATGGGAGAAAAGGAAGTCTTCAGAATTGAAGTTGTGATGTTTAATATCGAAAGAAATGGTTATTGAGATCATCTGGAGAAAGAGAGAAGGAACTAAGATTATTGGATTCTGGTAGGAATAGATTACGCAGTATTTTCCATTTTGAATTGGAATCGGGAGTGTTGGAAAGAGCATATAATAGCATGGTAGATTACTTTCTTTACTCCAAGGAGATAAGGAGCTATTTTACTGATGTTAAGATCATATGGGAGCTGACATTGAGAACAATCAGATGCTACTGATTGCCGATACCATAATTCCTTCTGTGATAAGGCCACAATTTAAATCCTTTGAAAAGATCAAAATTAGGCAGCTGCAGGGACATCAAAACAGGTGGATTATAAAGACGAGTTGAGAATTCGGCTGGGAGAGCTGGACTTTGATAATGACCTGGATGATCTTTGGATGGACCTGAAAGCAGCCATATTGGAATCAGCATAAAAAATATGTGGTGTGAAAAAAGTATTAGCTAAATGGAAGCGGAAGCGGAAGCGCTCAGACTGGTGGAGTGAGGAGCTTATGGTTGTCATAAGAGAAAAGAACACTTGGAAAATCTTCTGTAATGAAAGTAGCCGAAGCAACTATGAACTATACAAAGATGCAAGAAACAAAGTTGTAGAAGTAAAAAGAAAAGCATGGGAGGAGTTTAGTCAATCTCTCAATAATGACCACAAGAGAAATATTAAACTCTTCTGGAGGAAAATTAAAACACTCAGGGGCAGGAAGTCTAAACATTAAGAATGAAAAAGGAGAGGTGGTACCAGAGGAGAAAGAGGTTTTGGAGACCTGGCATAGATAATACTCAAGACAGTTCGAGGGTAATCTGACAATCATCCTGATAAGGGAGCCAAGACATAGGATCAAGGAAATGATCTGATTGAAGAAGATGAGCTTAAAAATGCTATTGCGAAGATGAAGACAGGTAAAGCAGCAGGCCGAGACAAAATAGCCCCAGAAGTTCTTCCAAAGGGTTTGGGATGATGAAAGAATTTCTCAGGAATGGGAATACAATGTTATAATCCCCATATAGAAGAAAGAAAGTTATAGCGATTACTCCAACTACATACTTATGTGCCTGTCTCCTTTGCTTTATGAACTATACGCTTCTATTTAAAGAGCCGGTTAACACCATTGGTGGAGCCTATTTCGCAGGAAGAATAAAGTGCTTTTAGGCCGAACAGGCAAACTCAGGATCAGATCTTTACCCTGAGGAGCATGATAAAGAAGTCGTAAGAACATGGCCGGAACGTCTATCGGGCATTCTTGGACCTGAAGGCAGCATTCGATTAGGTACCTCAAAAAGAAATTTAGGAATCCTTAAGGGCAAAAAACAATCTTCAAAAGCTCTTAAATGTCATTAAATCAATGTACCAGGATCCAACGGGTGTGGTGTTATAAACATTGGCAAATAGCAGTCAGCCCCGACTGGCTATCAGACAAGTACCCATGTATGTTTTTAAAATATTGGTGAAATTAATAATTTAGTCGTAGAAGTTATAGCTAATTTCCGAATATTGAGTATTCTATCTCATCTAGATTCATTACTATTAGTGGTGTTATTTAAATCATAAATATTTGAGTTGGGCATTCAAACCTACATAATTTTTTAGCAAGCCTAGGGGCCTAGCCTATTCATACATATCATAAAATATGTTCTTATTATGTTATTTTTTGGCCAAAAAGTTGTTTAATTTATTGCATTTTATTATGGATTGTAAATTTAATCAGTTACAATGTTTTGTGATTATGTTGTGTTACTCATTATTAATTTTTATTTCAGTTTGTCAAAGCACAGATATTAGAAACTCAGTCAGCATGTTTTCTCAATTACGTGGATGCCAAGTTGTTGAAGGATTTGTACAAATTGTATTAATTGACAATGCAGATGAATCAGATTATGCTAACATTTCTTTCCCGGAGCTTACAGAAATTACTGATTATTTGCTTCTTTATCGTGTAAATGGATTACGTTCTTTAGGAAAAATCTTTCCAAATTTGACTGTTATCAGAGGAAATACATTGTTCGAAAATTATGCCCTAGTGGCTTTTGAAATGCTTCATTTACAGGTGAGTTCTAGATTTAACCAATGAATGTTATCTGAAAATATACATTTATAGATTAAATGATCTACTTCATTTCCAAAGTATTCACTATAGGAATTTTCAGAACCTGACAATAATAGTCTCATTAACAAAAATCGCTCCTGAGTATTTATCTCATGTTTAAAAAAAAAGAGGGTTTTAAGTTTGGTACTTGAAAAGATAGTATTGTTTCATTACTAATGATTGTTTGGTGAGGTGACTCATTCAAGCCAGATTTTCTTCCTTAAGATGTCCCCACTTAGTGAAACCCTATTTTCATAAAAAAAGTTCTGCCCAATCATATTTGGTTGCTAAATACACAGCATACTTATTAATCGCAATGGACAATCAATAAAAATTATATATAAATACACAATAAAATGGAAATTACATATTTGACCGCAGCCAGTCCTAAATCTGTGCCCAGGAGTCAAATGACTAGTGCCTGACCCACTTAGCTGCACTATCTCCTTTACATTATTTTAAAGGTGTTTTATGTATTTATTTTTATATTCTATTTGTACGATAACTCTTTCATTTTTTTGTACATATTGTATTATTCATAAGTTTTTTTATGACTGTATTTTATTGTTTTTACATACCGTTTAGTATAAGTACATGTTTTTAAGAATGCCAACTAAATAGAATAAAGTAAGTGCGACAATGAAACAGAAATTCCAAGCTTTGTTTTGTAGTGATGCAGGGAAATCTTTAAATAAAATCTCAAATGATTTAAGAGTTTGACATCAAAATTTTTCTGACTTGATATAACTTAGAAAGAAATTGAACATTGCTTTGCCATAATGTTAAACAAAAGCAGGCACCTTAACTTAGGACAAAGCTTTGTATGTTTGGTTGTGTGGACATTATGAATTTTTTTACTGTCTAAAAATAGTTTTTGCTTTCATTACATTTAGTATGTGCATTGTTTTATTTATAGTTCTGTTCAGCATTTAATGTTTATTTGCTTCAAAAATGAATCATAACAACTAAATTTAATTTCGTGTTTTATTAAATATAAATAAATCCAATTAGATTAAAATATAAACTAATTGAATCATAAATATAATCTAATATTCTTCACAAATGTAGGATGAATTTTAAATGTAATAAGATCTAAACCATGAATTTAAGATGGCAATTTGCAAGTTTTAAAATAATAATAAAATAACAAAATTCAGATGAACTATTAAAATAATAATTATAAATAATATCAAAATAACTATTTTAATTAAATGATTTTATTATTATTAAGAATGATAAACATGTGGTTCTGTTGTGCAAATGAAATTTGATTGCATCCTTGAACTGAATTAGTTCGAGAAAACCATTCCCTTTGGAAGGATTCGGAATGGTTCAGACATTCTGGACGCTTTTAGGTTTCATTCTATTCCGTTTTCGTTTGAATCAGTTATTTTTCTAGTGTTCGTTTTGAATAATTATGATACTGATTAAAGTTTTAACATGTTTTTATTTTAAATTAGTAAGTCTTAAATTAATTAAGTTATGTGAATAAGTAAAAAGTAAAACAGAAATGGATTTTATTTGTTAATGTTTTTCTGTGACTTTGGATAAGAGTGTATTTATGGAAAATTAATGGGACAAATTTTAACAACCAAAAAATCATTTGATATATGAATTATATTTAAATATATAAAGATAGGAACTAACAAATTTATAATAAGAAATTTAAAATGAATTAAAAAGCCAAAAGGTTGAAACCATAATATAAATTACTGAAATTTAAAAACAGCGTTTGTTTAATTTTATGACCTGATAGTCAAGTCTGATGTTTGTTAATCAACATACCTGATTTTGAAAAAATTTGTTCGTATGGAACCGAAGTGGCAACTATACTTAAAATTTCTTTGGCAATGATGTACAAATTATTGGTTACTTATTGAGATCCTCGTCGTCTAAAATATCCTCTTTTAAGTACCTGTTTAATTCAATCATTGCCTTTGGTTCGGGTCCCCTTTTGGATAATTTACTGTTTGGGCTCTCATCAATATTTCTAAAATGTCCAGTTCTTTTTTTTTCTGTATTTCTCTCCATTTATCTTCATTTTACTCTGCCTTGATAATTTTGTTGTTGTTTTAAATAGTTTTATTACAGTGCATATTTGCATTATTATTCTTTACCTCGTTTCAAGTATTGTTCAGAACAAAGATGGAGCAGAATAAGGATTGAAATGAATTCCAGGGGTGGAAAATTCCATTCTGTTCCTACCTGTAGCCGGAATTGTCCATCTCTAGTTATTGTATACCAAGAAATATTTTATATTCTATGTTTTATTTCTATATTTTATATTCTATACCTAGCTTAGTAATACTTCCTCTAAAGTGTTGAATATTTCAAAGCTTCTATATTTGACTTACACCACATTTGCATTCAACACTAGACTAGTTTATTGCGCAACTCTAGAAATTGGCATAATTTCATGCAATGATAAACAGATAGGATGTGTGTAATCTTTTTTTCTATAATCACAATATATATATATTCTGTTAAAATAATGAATATATTTTGCACTATTCCATTAAAATGAATTAATAGTGGTTTTATCATTGTATTTAATGGGGGATGATGGTTTTTCTCCCCATCACTATCATCCCCATACTGGGCCCTTAATAAAAATACTTAACTATTATGACATGTAAAGAACAGATGGCTATGAGCTGTGGATAGTGAAAAGATAGGTTACGTTATCATTAAACTGCACTTTTTGACAATAACAATTCAAAACTGTCTTCAAGTCAGTTTATTTTTTATTTTATATTAAAATAAAATATTAATTTCAATAGTTTTTGTTAATTGTATTTTGTTAATTGGTCTGTTTTTATTTAATTTATGTGCTTATTCTTTTTTTCTTCTTTTTTTCCAGGAAATTGGTTTGATATCACTAACTGATATCCCAAGGGGTGCTGTTCTATTTGCAAAAAATCCAACTTTATGTTTTGTCGATACTATTGATTGGGATCGTATAGCTTATAATGCCAAGGGTGAACATTACATTGCAGTATGTATTCTTAAATGAACCTATAAATTGTTATTAATTGTATTTCTTTTTAGTCAGTTGGATACTTTTTTTTATTATATTTTTTTTGTACATTTTAAATTATTTATTTATATAATTGATTTGATGTTTAACATTTAATTAAACATGTCTATGGAATCAAAAGTAGAAGATAGTATCAACATTTTTTTTATGATTAAGTTTAATACAATAATCTTAATATGAGAAGGAGTTGATCGGGGGGTGCGGTCAAATGTGGTATTCCATTGACTCTTATGTTTTGTAGGAAGCCCCAAAAGGCTCATTCTCAAATCTGACATCATTTTCATAAAAAGTGCACCCTAAAACATAAGAGTCGGCCCTGATATAGATTTAATCCGAAAAGTTAAAAAAAGTAGAGGCCCGGGAGCGCAATCTCAAATTCAACAGCATTTTCATAAAAAGCGCCCCCCAAAACATGTTAGTCGACCCTGATATCGATTTAATCCGAAAAGTTAAAAATAGTCGAGGCATTGATGGCCCAATCTCAAATTCGATATTATTTTCAATATAATCGCCCTCCAAATCATAATAGTCGAATTATGATTTGGAATGAAATGTGGTCAAATTATTTATCTATATCAGGGTCGACTATTATGATTTGGAGGGCGATTATATTGAAAATAATATCGAATTTGAGATTGGGCCATCCGTGCCTCGACTCGAAAAGCGCCCCCAAAACATATAAGTAGACCCTGTTATCGATTTAATCCGAAGAGTTACAAAAAGTGGAGGCCCGGGGGTCCCAATCTCAAATTATACAGCATTTTCCAAAAAAGTGCCCTCCAAAACATAAGAGTCGACCCTGATATCGATTTAATCCGAAAAGTTAAATATAGGTCGAGGCTCGGGAGCGAAATCTCAAATTTGACAGCATTTTCAATAAAAACGCCCCCCAAAACATAAGGGTCGATCCTGATATCGATTTAATCCGAAAAGTTACAAAAAGTAGAGGCCTGGGGGGGCCCAATCTCAAATTGGATATCATTTTCATAAAAAAGCGCCCTCCAAAACATATAAGTTGACCCTGATATCGATTTAATCCGAAAAGTTTAAAAAAATCGAGGCCCAGTGGGCCCAATTTCAAATTTGATATTATTTTCAGTAAAAGTGCCCCAAATCATAATAGCCGACCCTGATATCGAATAAATCCGAAAGGTGACAAAAAAAAAAATGAGATTAAATATTAAAGCATTTTTTTTTTTTCAAAATTACTCATGGTGTTAAAATGTTTCATGAGTAATTTACTCATAGAGATAACATTTTAAAATAGCCGACCCTGATATCGAATAAATCCGAAAGGTGACAAAAAAAAATTAGATTAAATATTAAAACATTTTTTTTTTTTTCAAAATTACTCATGGCGTTAAAATGTTTCATGAGTAATTTACTCATAGAGATAACATTTTTCCCGAGTGATTTACTCATGGAGGAAAAATGTTTCATGAGTAATATTCAAATTTACTCATGGCTAAGCTTCTAAGCCTAATCACTCGTGACGTCACCGCTAGACATTTACTCGAGTAATTTCCCGACACTGCTTTAGTTTTGTTAATTTATAAAGAGAAAAAGAAAGTAAGCTGCATCTGGTCTGGGATGTAAATTAAATTTTGAGAAAGGTCTGAAAAAAATTCTTGTTTGATTGCAAAGGCTCATTGTTAAAAATGATTATAAAAAATACTAATACTGAAAAAATTGAAATTCTATGCTGGACTTTGTTATCTTGAACATCTATTTTAATATTCCAAATCATATTTTATTCCTAAAGTTTATATTTTTTTACCCCAAAAAATTTTATATTTGATTTATAGATACGAGGTCCATAAAAATTTAAAGATCAAATAATATGAGAACGACTTCCATTTTAACACAAAATCAATGCTGTTAACTAGTCATAATGCTATTTAATTTGGTTTGATATAATAATATTATATAATTGTGTTTATGGTTTTAATTACAGGCTAATAAACTACAAAATGAATGCCCCATGTGCCCTACACATAACCATTCCTGTGCAACATCTCCAATTGATGGTGGATCGCTTTGTTGGAATTCTCAGCATTGTCAGAAAGGTATTAACAGTTGTAGTGATATTACTGTTTTCTTTTTGCCAAAAAAAAAAAAAAAAAATATATAAAATGCATACAATATGATTTGAAGTGTTATAGAACAGAGATAACATCAGTTAAGTTTTTTCTGAATTATTTTTGTTTGTTTTTACCACTATTACATATTAGAGATAGGCAAAAGGTATTCTTGAGTAAAAAGTACAAATTACAAAGTGTTTTACTCAAATACTTTTGGTTCGAATACAGATTACTTTAATCACTACTCGACCCGATGATTGACGAGTACAAAAGTACTCATCTATCCTCGTGAGTACTTTCCATTTTCACATTTACTCAGAATTATTTTACTCTGAGTACTTTTCAAAGTAATAAACTACTTCATTATACAAATTACAGGTGTATAATATTTAATATTTCTTCAATATTTATGTCCATTGTTATTGTTTGGGGGGTGAAGTTTGTTAAAATAGTATCAATCGATATTAATGTTTATCAATAAAATATTGACTTATTAAAATATTTTGGATTTAATCCATATTGGGTCACATTATCATTTTTTTTTTATTTTTACTACACCTCTTGACTTAAACTTTCATTATGATGTTTTGGGGAGCGCTTTTTTTTTTTTTTGGAAATACTATCAGATTTGAGATTGCCCCCATGCGCATCGACTTTGTAACTTTTCGGATTTAATTCCTATCGTATGCCCATTTTAATTTCCTATCCATTTTCCATTTCATTTTTCGACATAATGTTATTTTTGATTTTTCAAGATTAATTTCCAGTCTCCACATTTTGCAATAGGTCTCTAATCTATTTATCGTTTCCTGCAATATTAATGGGTTGTCTGAAGTCAGAACCACATCATCCGCATACATAAGTACATTAAGCTTCTTCCCACCTATTAATATTCCACCTGCAAACCATTCCACTAAATCATTAATAAAGATGGAAAAAAGAAGCAGGCTAAGCAAGCAGTCTTGCCTTAGGTTTATCTCGGCATTGCAAGATCGTATAAGTCCATCTTTTGCCCATACTTTAAATTTTGTAGTTTCATACAAAAAAAAAAATGTTATTATGTACTTTATAAGCAAATAAACGTTTTTATCTATCTAAATCATTCATTTCCGTCCATTGCTGGCTATAAATTTTCCCATTTCTCTAGAAATTTATGAATGTCATGTCAGAAAAACGGTTCCTCTTTTGTTACAAACCAGTTTTGTACATTTTTAATAGTAGGAGTTATGCGCTTCTGAGCAAGTGTGCCCCATAGATGAAATTATGCTGCATGCGCTATTATTTCCCAATTGAATTCCCCAATCTTTTCCTTCACTGGTTTTGCTGTGTATGAGAATACATTGTAAGTAGTTCAAGTTCAAGTACAGTATCCATCAACTCACTCTTTATCTAGTCATCACGTTACTTACATCCATAAGTGATTGGCTTTTAGCCAGCAGAGGATTAGAGAGTTTCTCAGCCAGTCTACTATTATAAAACACAGTGGGCAGACCATTAGCTCATGTATTATTATACTGTCAACCTGATGACTTAATGATATAGGATGTCACTGTGGAAGAAGAGTATAATCACTGTCAACTACAACTATGTATATTACTTTACACAATCATAAATGTTAGTGATGGCAATCATATTATTTATTATAATTCAGGTTCTTCACAGAGCATGAACCTCAGAGAGCAAATAATGCATCATTGGATTAAAATATTCTATAAATAACTTTCTTATTTATCATAAAAATACATTCCAGATTATTTTTACAATCACACAGACAATCAAGACATACATTCAAATTTGATTCACTCTAGATAATACATCACAAAAGAAATCATTTTTAACATTATATTAAAGTAATGATTATCATTGAAAAATATAAGAATTGTGCTATAAACAAAAAATTAAATATTGAAAATCTAATTATCTCATATTAGGGTCATTCCTATATTATTTGACCATCTGGTGTCCCAGGCTTTATATTCGTTTTTCACATGTTTTCTCAGGTTCCAAAAAAAAAAAGTATTGTTATTTATTTTTTGTATTGTTTCTAAGGAATAAAGTGGTGACATTAAGATAAATTTACTTCAACCACAAGAAGAAATATTTCACTGTGCATGTCGAAAAACATAATGAATGTTACTGTCCTCAAGGTCAGGATGCAAAGTTTTTCATAGTTTAATATGAATCAATCTGTATCGATTAATTTCAAATATCATAAATCCATATAAACCAAACATTAATAATTATATTTTCTTCTTATAAGATAACACGTAACCAACTAAAAATAGTTATGAAATAATTAATTTTAATATTTAACAATAATCAATGAATAAAGTAAAGACTCACCACAAAGACCAAAGAATTATAAATCAAGTTGAACTTGGCTAGTTTTTTGGCAAAAAAAAAAAAAAATATATATATATATGTATTTGAAAGGCATGAAAGGTATAGTCATCCATTCGATACTAGAGTGCCTAACAAAGTTCTTTGCATTTTCAGAAATTAATTTCTATACAGTATGCGAGATACAGAGATGATTATTAAGAATAATTTAACTCCATACAGCATCTTCTTTGCGTAGTAACACTAAGCAAAATCCCATTTTCAAAATTTAAAAAAAAGAAAACAAATATTAAGAAAATTGACAATGGGAGCTAAAGTTTGTTATCTAGGCAATCTGTACTAATATTTGAGATAAATTGTTCTTCATAAAGTTGATATTTTTTAAACCCGAATTGCTAGATACAGAAATGCTAAATGGTCAAATAATATAAGAATGACCCATTAAGACAAATACTTAACTCTAATAAATAACAATATATAAAATACATCAGACTTAAACTACCTGTCCACTGATAAACAAATTATTTGCTACATTGAAGTTACATTTTTTATGCTTGCTATTCACTTGATAATGAGAATTATTATTTTGTTTTTTCAGTTTGTCCTGCTCACTGTAATGGTAGCTGCAATAGTAATGGGGACTGCTGTCATTCTTCTTGTCTTGGTGGTTGTCATGGGCCACCTAATAGTGACCAATGTGTCGCATGCAGATATTTTAACTTTCAAAGAAGATGTGTTAAGAAGTGTCCAAACAATACTTATGAGGTATTTTTATTTATGGTCATTTTCAGAAGTGTTTCCATGCATTATCACGCAACTAAGATACACTGGGATTCCTATTTCTAATTTTATTTTATTAATATAGCCTAATTATTTATTCTGATAGATTTATATATATATTATGTATTTTTTCTTTGATAACTGTTCATTATTGTTATTCTAAGGGAACATCGTCCCAGAATAAAGTTTATTTTCTATTCTATTATAGAAGCTGCAATTATCTTGCAAGGGTAGACTTGCGGGCTAGGTACCGTTCTGTGATTGTGTCAAATGCTAGTTATTTCAACTAAACTGACGGATAAAAACTTTTTTTCTTTACTTTGCCAGCTAGATTAGAGAAACTATGGATATTAATCAAAGATTTGGGAATGGAAATTGTGTTTTTTAGAGGAGCTTCAGAAATTTATAGCACTTTAAGAAGAGGCTGTAATTCTTTAATAAATACAGATTGTTAGAGAGAGAACACATTTCCAGTTCTAATTTCTGTACCTACAGGATGTTTATCGTCACATGTGTGTTCATCCATCCCAGAACAGCATTAGCAAGAATTAATCTGTCTGTTATGATCTTTGCTAAATTATTGAATAAATAAAAATTAAGATATTACCTAAATATGATCCTAAGGTTAATACACCTATCAGTTATCATATAATGTTTAGTGTTTCGGATGATCATTTGTTGCTGAACTTTATGCTTAATGGGCTTAATTTGTTTTATATCAAAACATTATACAATTCTTGTGTTGATTTAACATTCACCAGAACCTCATTGCATTCATTTGTATCTTACTTTTCTTTTATCATTAATAAAACAACCAGAGAGTTGTTGCTTATTAATTTCTAATGCTGTTACTAAGAATATGTTTTTTTTCTCAAATAAATAATGGGGATCTGAAGAACTTCTTATTGTTAAAGGCTATGAAATGCTCTCAAAGAAAAAAAAAATCCCATTAACACTGACATATCCATATTGAACATATGGCCATGTCATAAACAGTTATAACTTGTACTGCTACAATACAACAGTACAGTTACAGCTTGTAATTTTTATTTTATAGTACCTGAATCGCCGTTGCATATTGGAATCAGAATGTTATACATTACCCAAGCCAAGAAAAACTGATGATATTATCAACGGGAAGGATAATCCATGGAAACCTTTTAAAGGACAATGTGTATTAGAGTGCCCTACAGGATACTTAGAAATAATGGATACATCAAATGGTCAGGAAAGATATAAATGTGAAGCTTGTAAAGGTAAGAGTAAACCATCACACTAATCATTGCTAATTAATTTTTTTTTCATGTTATTGATGTTCCATTTAACTAAATTGATTTTATAGATAGTCTTTAAATGCGTATTTCTGAGTTTTAAGACCCCCTGAGTCCAAAATCCAAGTCTCGTAAAATGGTTGTGTGTGTATGTGAAAAGCTTAGCTTCAAAAACGAAAAGTTGTATGAAACTAAAAGAACACGTTTTAGATGGTTATATTATTTATTTGTAAATTTACCAGATATGCCACTTTATATAATAGATCTTACACTTTTTTACAATTTTCTCAAAAATTATTTGATTTAACTCTATATTTACCATTTCCTAAATTATTTAAATGCTGGCCTTTATTCCTAAATTACTTTGTCACTACTTTTTGCCCATACGTCAATTTAATAAATAATCACACTTAGTTTTTGGTTATTATTTATTAATGCATGTTTCGGGAATCTCCAATTCTGGGGTGTTTTAGGTGCTGAATAGGATAAAGCTTTGCCAAAACGTACATTAATAAGTAAAAATAAAAAAATTCTGTGTGATTATTTATTAAATTGACCAATAGGCAACAAATAGTCAAAAGATAAACTCCTTATATTAATATACAATTAAATGGTGTTTAATATTAGATAGGTCTTATCCTTATTAAAATAAGCTGATGGAAATGCCAAATTTTTATAATGATTTCCTCTGGAGTATCTTTAATTTTGTTTATTTTCATTAATCTACTGTTTCATATTGTGACCAGTAATAAAAAATTAATAAATAACAGTACCTCAGAGGTAAAATGTTATGTGTCCATTTTTTCGTGAAAATGAGTTCTGTACTAATCTTTTGGTAATATTATAGGCTCTTTTCAGTGTGATGTTTAAATTAGCATAGTACTCTAGATAAGTATTGGGAAAAAGTCAGATGACCACATACTCTTATCCTTAAAAACATTTTATTGCTGTTATCTTTTATGTTTAATTGACTTAGTGGTTGAGAAAAAGGTCGGTTGTCCTCTTCAAACATTAATGCTATTATTTGCATGGTTTGATGTAACTTGGTAATTTGGTTAAATGGTAAGATAGAAAACAACGGTCAACCAACGCTAATTTTTACTGAATTTGCCAAAAACTGTGACACATTACTATAAATGGCTCTGTAGCTTGGAAATTACTTCCCTAAGAGGAAAACCCCATAGAATTGAAGTTGTAGAACACTAAATTTTGCGTCTACTGAGTACCATCACTTTTAATTTAGGGCACTTACTCCGAACTTAATTGGTAGTCTCCCGATGGCTAGAAATTGGTAATGAAGGTATGTGTGTTTTTCTGTATTTGAACAGTATGGGTGTCTATTCTACTGTGTTATTCTTGCTGAGTCTGTTACATGCAGTATAAGCCTCTTGTCCACTTTTCCGCAGCGAAGGATTTTGAGATACTATGTGTCAAAAGAAACTGAATTTCATGAAGAAATAACTAATCCCGATTCGAGATATATAATTGACCTACATAAAAATTGTTTTTTGGGCTTCTAGCAGTAGTATGTTAGCTCTAGAGAAGTTTATAAACATATCCTTGGAGGATGTTTACTCACACAATAATAAAAAAACCGTAGAAATCAGACCTTTACAACTTTAGTGACACCTCATACATATTTAAATTTAGATACATATATCATACATATACTGGGTGTCCAGTGACCGGAAAAACAGGGAATTGTACGAGAATTTCTGAAACCAGGAATTTAAAAAAAAAAAAAACGGAAACTTTTATTTTTTTTGTGCTGCTCTTGTGATCAAATAAATAATCTTGTATTTACATACGTAATAAAGAATATTGTGGTATTCACATAATCTTAAGAATAAATATTTTTATTAATTATTAAACAGTCTTTGAACAATCACATTCTGGCGGTATTTTTCCTTTGAAGTCTTTAACGTTATTGGGTTTTTCCATGATGAAAATACCATCTGTTTGAAATTTTTCGTTCCCACAATAAGCATAGTACAGTAAAAATCATACACGCTGCATTTATAGAGAAAAGAATGGATTTTCTTTAAAAAAACAGAGATCAAGGAAAACTCCTTAAAAATAATATATTATACTTGAATGCCAATAATACTCAATTTTGAGGATTCTGCACTCAATAAATTAGTAACGGTTAACAAACACAAGACATAATAGTAAGGGGGTGGGGAAGAAAGCCCACCTGGACAATAGTTTCATTTTTAGTTTTACCTCATCTGGCAAGAAGTGGTGGAGCGTAATAAATTACGTGATAATTAGTGTTTATTTAATGTATTTAATTGTTGTGTTCATTCATTTTAAAGATTATTTTGTAAATTTTTCTTTTTATTATATTATTGTTAATTTTTATATTTTATTTAGTATGATGAAGGATCTGTAATCCAGTTGGCTGTAAAAAATTGCAAATGATTTATGTTTGTAAAAAAAAAACAGAACTTACCTTAATTTTTTACTTTTTGAAAATTTCTTCTTGATTAATAAAGGCAATTTCTACTTATGGTAGAAGGAATTTTTGTCTAGTTTACTTTGAAACAATTCTTAATCACTACATTTAAATATTTTTTTAGTTATCATTTTCTATTCAACAAAAAATGTGACTTACTTAAGTAAAAAAACAGTTTAAAACTTGAATTTCCTAGTTTCTGTTTGATGAAATCAGACAATGGTTTATCACTTTTGTAGGTTTTAAGGTCTGCTTTCTCTCTTTATAAACTTTATGAAATTGATGTAAATGTGATCGGTATCATATCTTCATATCAATATTATGAAATACTTACTTGATTGATATCGAATACTATGATGTTGTCATAGGATTTTTATAACCATCAAATAATTATAATATAAATGATCAAAAATGTTACAGAAACAAGTTCAACTTCTAAATGATATTATCTATTATATACAACAGCTGTTTCATGGTTTGGATACGTTTTGCTTTAAGTAAAATTTTATTAATTATAACTAGGGGAGCACCCTTAATTTTTAATTTCTTAAAAAATCTATATCTTACATCTCACTTTATTGTCAATTTGTTACCATAATTTACATTCAACTTGTTCAGCTTCTTATAAGTCAAACATCAGTTTGAGCCTTTGATTTCTAATATTTTCATTGTACATTATATTGTGCTTCTTTTACTATTTTGTAATAATTATAATTATTTCAGAATGTAATATAAATAATATTATATATAATATAATAATTAATATATTGTATTCAAGGGTATAGTCTAGTATAGCATATGTCTAGATCGAAAAATAACTGCTGTTACCTAGGTAAAATCATACTACCTCCTCCAGATGAATACCATTTTCCATACAAATTTTTTTTCTAAAATATTTATTTTGTATTTGAAGAATAGGAGGATACAGCAGCTCAATACTGTAACGAAGACACCACGGTGTAAATCTCTATTTTGTGTTAGGAGAATATGAGGTTACAGGAGCTCAACACATATATAATTAAATGAACAGTTGTATAATTAGTGCTAATTTTATACTAATAGGAGAGCTCCTGCTATATCCTACTCTTCTAATACTAAAATATAAATAAAAGTCACTAAAAACTTTTTTATATAATAGAGAGACAAGTAGCCACGTACTATCCGTCTTTATATTATAAATATAAATATTTTCGAGATCATTTTTATAAAGATTTTAAAGTACTTTGATATTGTCATCATCATCATCATCATAATCATATTCCTCTTTAACCGCCTATGCAGTGTGAGCTTGAACCAGGTGGATCTTTCCAGTACCAGCTCTCGTCTCCTGTTCCATTCTAAACCTCGCTTCTGAAATGCATCTCCCACGCCTTCTTCTCAGGAGATTCTGGGTCTTCCTCTCGGTCTCCTACCCTGCCCGCGAGTCTGTGCCCAAACCATCTCAACTTATGTTCTTCTATTATGGTTTCGATCGCTTTGGCGTCGAGATTGTAGTATTGCGGATTCTGTCTCTTCTAGTCCTTTCCTCTACCTTTCGCAAGTATCGCATCTCTTGAGCCTGGATATAGCTCCTGTGTTTCGAAGTAAGTGTCCAGGACTCGGAAGAATACGTCAGTATAGAAAGGAATACTGATCTGTAGACCGTCATCTTCGTTTCCTTGGTCACCTCTTTTCGGTTCAGAAAGCCTTTCCTAACCGAGCCAAACATTCTTCCAGCAGGTCCTATTCTCTGCCTTACCTCTTATCAATATATCTATTTTCATTGAGTTGAGCTCCCAAGTATTTGGAACTTTCCACCTGCTCTAAAATCTCACCGTTGACCCTAAATACCCTCATAACCCTGTGAGGTTTTCTTCCAATGCGCATGCATTCTGTCTTCTCAGGGTTAATTTCCATATTATAGGCTGCAATCCATAGAGTAGGCTGCATATCTCTGTGACCCAACTGAAAACTTTGCATCTTCTGTTTTGCTTTTCCCAGCTCCAGATCAAGAACCAGTACGAAAAGAAGTGGGCTCAGGCTATAACCCTGTCGTATGCCCAGTGTTGTTTTGAACTCTTGAGAGGTATGGTTACTTGTTCTAACAAGATTCCTCGTATTTCCGTATAAACTGCTTACGGCCCTTATAAGTCCATCATTTACACCTTTTTCAACTAGAGCCTCAATTATATCCTTTTTCCTAACCCGGTCAAAGGCTTTGCAGAGATCTACAGAGCACACTGAGAGTTCCTTTCCCCTCTCGACAATCTTCTCTGTGATGTGTCACATAGTGAAAACTAGATCCTGTGTGCTTCTTTGACTCCTGAATCCATACTGCTCTTCTCCAATCATGGATTCTATGGTGCTTCTGACCCTTGCCTCTAGGATTTTTGAATATATTTTACTAGGAACACTAAGGAGTGAAATACCTCGAAGATTGTCCAGCTCTAATCTTTTGTTTGTTTGTGATAAGACTTATTTTAGAGGAGTAGGTTATCAGCCCACTGCCCCCTAGTCAGGTGGAGGGGCTGCCTGCCTCCTTAGAGCTTCC